AAAAACCCTAATTATTATGAAGATGTTTTACTCCTGAACAAACATTGTTTCATTTGGGAACTGAACAATTAAATTACAGCAAATTAAAGACTAAAAAAATGCATTTATTTCTCATTAAGCAACCAACACTGTTACACAATGTGTCTAGAATATGATGAATGAATGGGAAAGAGAGGGCATGTCTACAAGGAATACTTACATCTGGCATATGTTAATTACTAATCCTTTTCTATTTTGCCCATTTGGATTATGCAAATACTCAAGCTGGTTCAGATGTCTGAAAATGTAATGCAGACTTAAAGATTCTAAAGATAGTAAAAGAAACTACAATTTGTTTGTCTACTGTGCATATTGATAAGCCTATATAAATTCATTGTACAGGCTTATCAATATGTTACCTGCAGATTGCAAAATACTATGGCTCAAATACAAATTCCTAAGGAACTATTATGTCCATAGCTGACCTCAGATGCATGACACACATTGTGGAATTAAATGGACTTCTGAGTAAATCCATTCTGCATTTGATTCCAAACTTCAAGGGATATTAAAGAAGCTTCTTCTCCACCCTTCATCTTCTCCAGGGTTGGACTATCAGAAAACATATCTTGGGAACTGAATCAGAAGGGCTGCATAGCCCTGGCTTTGACCTTATTGAATGGAATTGTTCTACCTTCCTTAACTTCGATAACCTGCCAAATATCTATGTATAATATGCAATTCTCTGGTTCTGGTTTGAGAATCACATATCTTCTTGACAGACAATTTTACAAATTAGATTCAAATTTCCATGTAGAATATTAAATTAACGACAACAACAAATCCTGACTTACAGGTGCTCCAACATAACCTTGACGCCCTGGGGGACCTAGACGCCCTTCTTCTCCCTAAGCAAAAATGAAAAGAAAACAAGGTTTGAGGACACAATCAAAATCTATGGTAGTTTATTTACATGAACAAGTGTAAATCCTCTTTAAAAAGTAATTCTACAATATTGTAAACATCTTGATAGCCTTTCTGAAAAGCAAACTACTTGAGCGCTAAAACCAGGTGGCTATTTGTGTCTGTTGTTGTTGTTAGTTGCGAAGTCGTGTCCGACCCATCGCGACCCCATGGACAATGTTCCTCCAGGCCTTCCTGTCCTCCACCATCTATTTGTGTCTAATCAACAGCATATTTTTTTTCCTTGAGACTGAACAATTGTGGATAACCTGACATAAAGATGAAAAGTCATGGCATTGTCCATATGTTGCACCAGATGATAAAGGGTACTTTATCAGCTACTTATTCCATCCCAGGATTAAGCCATCACATGCATGTCACACACATGGATTAATTTACGGATTCACTGGATTAAGCCGACAACAAATTTAGGAGGGGCTGCATGTGTTTGACTCAACTAAGAGAAAGCACTTAGCTGATCTTCACTGAAGTCAGAAGCTCCAGATAATGTAAGAGCTAAGGCTTAGACTGGGAAATAAAAATAAAAAGTATATATGTGTATATATATGTATGCATGTATGTATATATGCATTCATTCATTCATTCATTCATTCATTCATTCATTCATTCACTCATTCATTCATTCATTCATTCATTCATTCATTCATTCAAATTTATTAGCTGTCCAAATCCAGAGAATGTCTCAGAAAGTTACCCTGGAAGAAAACAATACTAATGGCCAACATCAATTACATGATGTATCCATGAGATCACCAGGCCTTCAGCCTTATACATGCTGGCTGGGAACAATGGTTTATGTGCCATTTACACGGAAGGAAGGAATGTGGAAAATATAAATTTGTAAATCCAAGGAAGTTGAGGTATGAAGGAGAGAAAGGGTGGCATCAAAATGGACTAATGTACCAGGACCCAAAACTAATCTATTGTCTAATTGTGTTACTTTCCCCCTAAGAATTTCCAAATTAGTTGCCCTTTAAGATAAATCAGTGTCCTGGTCTTGCATTTTCCACTGTAGGGGAGACACTGAAAGTGTGTCTTGGTTTGGAGGTTATGAATAATGGTCTACAACTCCCTGAGTCAAAATTTGAAAAGAAACAGTATAGAGTTGTATTGACTTTTTTTAGGTTGCAAAAACATTAATACAAATGCTGGTGGATATTTTGCTGAAACTGTAAAAAAGCACACCAGAAACTTAAATACAAAGGAGATTATAAATCAAAATTAGTATCGCTATTAATCTTTGATGACTCAAATAGGTTTTCAGCCAGGCAAGCTATTATTACTGTATTTTAGAAATCAAACACAACATTCTCAGTATAGTCAAGTATTGGCACATTAATAAATGAGCCATTACATTAGTGTAAAAAGCTGACTAAGGAAGTAAGGGAAAAATATGTTGACAACTTTACAGAATTATATTGCAGTAGAGTGGAAATAAGTAAATATTACTTTGCAGCTATTTGGAAAAATAATAGTATTTAAGGGGACAAAGGGACTATCAAAAAGCCTCTATACATCTAGTAAGTTATGTATTAGTTTCTATGATGTAAAAGGTCACTTAGTCTAAAATCTGTTTGACAATACATCCTTATCCTCAATCCACAGAGAAGACTAGTCCTTGAACCACGTAGACTCGGGTTCTACCTTTAGTGTTTGTCATTTAGAAAGGACTTTGAGGACACTTAGAGTAAGTACTGTAATAAAAAAATTTTTTTTCCAATAAATAACAATAATAGAGTTGGAAGGGACCTTTTGGGTCTTTTAGTCCAATCTCCTGCTCAGGCAGGAAACCCTTTACCATTTCAGACAAATGGTTGTCCAATCTCTTCTTAAAAACTTCCAGTGTTGGAGCATTCACAACTTCTGAAGCCAAGTTGTTCCACTGGTTAATTGTTCTAACTGTCAGGAAGTTTCTCCTTAGTTCTAGGTTGCTTCTCTCCTTGATTGGTTTCCATCCACTGTTTCTTGTCCTGCCTTCAGGCGCTTTGGAGAATAGCTTGACTCCCTCTTCTTTGGGGTAGCCCCTGAGATATTGGAACGCTGCTATCATGTCCCCCCTCGTCCTTCTCTTCATTAAACTAGACATACCCAATTCCAGCAACCGTTCTACATATGTTTCAGCCTCCAGTCCCCTGATCATCTTTGTTGCTCTTCTCTGTACTCTTTCTAGAATCACAACATCTTTTTAAAATCTTTTTAAAATAGATTCATATATGGTCACCTTTGGTCCAGATGGTCCAGGAAGGCCAGATGCTCCAGGAAGACCAGGTTCTCCCTAAAAAAAGGCAAAATAATATTTATTGCAAAGACTTGCTGTGCACACCTTAGGAACCAGGGTATACTGAAAAACCATAATCTATGAAACCAAAAGAGATGCTTATTTTGAGAGAAATGGAAAGTTTTTCACACGATTACTCCAAGTTTTCTGGAAGAGAGAACTTCACCAGTGTTGTCTATGGAGATTCTCAGTCATCAGGGTATGGTGGAGGAGTTGGACACTACTGGACAGGGTAAATGTTTACCTTAAAAAAATGTGTACTATTGCTGAAGAAGATTGCTTGCACCCTTGTAGACACAGAAGTGGATAATAATTCTTTTCAGATTCCGCCAGAGTTCCCGTGTTTCCACCCATCGAATTTCAGCTGGCATACTTTTGTTTGCAGAGAAATAAATAGCTGTGTTTTGCTGAACTGTTTTGCTCAACTGCTTCTGTAAACTCTCTAGTCACAGCGTAGCATTTTAATGGATGACAACTGAAATTCCTCCTCAGAGCTTCCCAGAACCAATAATCTATAAGAAGTCTCTTTGCTCCCTTGGCCCAACAATAGGCTTGTTCAGGTTAATAACCTGCTTTTATTTGTTTTCTTACATTGGGAACCACAATATTAATCCCCTAGACATGTTCCATTCAATAATGATTGATCCAAACACCTGGTTTACGTTACAAGGAAAAGAGGATTTTAAAAAAAGAGAAGAGAAAAGCTTACAATTTCTCCTTTGGCTCCATCGTTCCCTGGGATGCCGGATGCACCAATGGAACCCTAAAAGAATACAGATTATGACGACAAAATTAATGGGAAATCATAGTGATATTTTAAAATAGCATTGGTTAAAGGCAGGAGGACCTGAATAATAAAGAAGACAAATCTAGGCACACTCAACTCTAGCCACATTAATTTGTGATCTCCTAGTTGATATATCATCACTTCCAAAATACAGGGATTAAGCAGTGAATTAAATTATTTGATAAATGCTGTTGGAGTGATGTACCATAATGTCAATTTCCAAACTCAAAAGGTGCAGCAGATAGTTTGGGATTATTCATGCTTTCTGAGCTTGGTTGTTTGCTTGCAGACATTTCATTACTCAACTAAGTAGCTTGCCCTGCCAGTTTTGATGATATAATAATAACAGAGTTGGAAGGGACCTTGGAGGTCTTCTAGTCCAGGGCTTTTCAACCTTTTCACCCATTGTACCATTTTTAGGATATGGCAACACCAGTCGCCTAGCAAGGGGTCAAAAACTTGATGACCAAAAAAAAAAAAAAAAAAGGAAAAAAACTGATAAAGTAACAGGTAGTCCTCGACTTACAACAGTTCACTTAGTGACTGTTCGAAGTTACAATGGCACTGAAAAAAGTGCCCCCCAAGCCACAGCCGAGCAAGACACCTGCCTGTCCACCCGGCGGTGCTCTTCCTCCTGTCCAAGGTTTTCACTATTGTGAGCATTTCTGTTGAGGATTGGCAGCGAGGGTGGGGTAGGGGGGTGTTTGATTTTTATTCTCCCCCCCTCTGCTGGGTATTGCAGCAGGTTTTGGTCACTTGACATGACACTGGGACACTGTGACGATCATAAATATGAATCAGTTGCCAAGCATCTGAATGTAAATCACAAGACCCTGGAGATGCTGCAACATTCCAGCTGATTGGTGCTTCTGCTGAGCCCTGACAGCCCTGCAGCTCCAGCCATCTCTCGCTCAGGCTTGTGTGGTGCTGCCACCAGTTCAGCTCATTCCCCTCCCCCGCTACTTTTCTAGGATGGTCACGTACCACCTGCAAGGTGCCAATGTACCACAGGTGGTACCCGTACCGCTGGTTGAAAAGCCCTGTTCTAGTCCAACCCCCTGCTCAAGCAGAAGACCCTATACCATTTCAGACAAGTGGCTGTCCAGTCTCTTCTTAAAAGCCTCCAGTGATGGAGCACCCACAAACTTCTGACAGCAATCTGTTCCACTGGTTAATTGTCTTCACTGTGAGGAAGTTTCTCCTTAATTCCAGGTTGCTTCTCTCCTTGATCAGTTTCCATCCATTGTTCCTTGTCCCGCCTTCTGGTGGTTTGACCCCCCTCTTCCTTGTGGCACCCTCTCAGATATTGGAACACTGTGATATCATGTGGTGTAGATTCCTTCTTTCTCCTCTTTTCCAGACCTCCATCAAAATTGACAGGGTGTGTATGTGGGTGTGCGCGCACACACACACAAGCATAAACAAGCAGTAAACCTCATACTGATTATGTTCAAACATCTGCAAACAACCAAGCTCAGGGAACATCAAGGACTCTACGGTTGAACCCTGAGCTAAAATATTCTCTTCCAGTAAATGTTCTTCGACATACATGGGTTGTAAATTGTAAAGAGTTTAGTTGTCATAATTCCTACAATCCCCTTCCTTTTTTTCTTAATAAAACTTACTAAAGAGATTCTGTGAGAATAGGGCTTGAAGGATTTCTAGGTTCAGCAAATATCAAGACAGCAGATATGTATGATAAGCTGGTAAAAAGCCACATCCCTCTTATCTAAACCATGAGCAGTTCAAGATAAACAATTGCTCGTGTCTCAGTATCCTTAAAAATGCCATCAAATGTGTTCAATCTTCTCTTTTCCTTTCTCCACACATCCCCAGACTAAGAGAAATAAAATATTAAGAAGGCAGTTAAATTATAATCTCTCTGTCCCTCAGATGCTGTGCTGGACCAGTATATAACTCTGGCCAGGGCATATATTTAGCTTAGAAAACTGTGTGTAGACTAAGTAGCATCTTAAGGGTTAAAAGCTGTCCATTCTTGTAGGTAAAAAGAAATAATTCCCCATCTCAGCTAGGCATGGTTACAGATGCCAATCGATGCGTGCATGATGCTTGATTAAACAAAGGCTTTTACAACCCTGGCACTAACCAGGACATCCTGTAATAAACTTTGAAGCCCCTCCCACTGACTAGATAAGATATAGGACTGACTACCAACTAGACTACATTTCCCAGAGGCCATCTCTTAAGGAGACAACGTTTAACCCTTTAAATGCTAAATGCTCTAACACAGTTCTTTTAAGGATACAGCTTTTAACCCTTAAGATGCTACTTGCTCTACACACAGTTTAATAAGCTAAATATATGCTCTGGCCAGAGTTACATACTGGTCCAGCACAGATGCTTAAAAGCCCAGTAAAAATCTCTGTTCTTTAATGATAACAGCCAAGAAATATTTTAGTACTCAAGTAATAGTTTTTTTAGAACTGGTTCCATAGCACTTGATCTATATTTTCCTTCTTTCTCTTTTTCCTTTCAAGCTACCTTGAAGCAAAATGTTTCAATGAACAGATGTTAAATCAGATCCAAGAAATTAATGAGATGGGAAATGGAAAAAATTATATTTAAGCTTTAGAATAACCAAATTAGGGGCAATATGCTGACTTTTTAAGCTGCTTAGAGAGTGCTGCAAAGCAGTATGAAGCAGTACATAAATCTACGTGCTATTGCTATTGCTTATCCAGATCTCAAAATTTACTGAACGTGTCATTCTGATTCAAGCAGTTGACCATTATGACTTTATGAGTTCCGTTTTCAGTTTCTACTGAATTATGTCATACTTGATGTTCAAATTTTTGCATTTGATTGAATTGCAGAAAAAGTCATATAAAATTGCAGCTGTTATAATCACTGCCTGTATTTATTTTTATGCCCCTGAAAAAAATATTTTATTTTACTATTTTATTTTATTACTAGCTGTACCCAGCCACGCGTTGCTGTGGCTCAGTCTGGTAAAAGCGTGTGTTACTTTTACGTCCAACATTTGGCGCTGTTTTTTAACAGTGCCAAATGTGACATCTATATAATATAGGTATATAAAAACACACACATATTCTAATGCAACGTTGTGTCAAAATTTCAAAGCAATTGGTGAAGAACTTTCAGAGATTTAAGATTTTGAACAAACCAACATTTACATTTTTATTTATATAGATTTTATTTTACTATTTTATTTTATTTATCTTTTTTTATTTTATTATTGTACAGATACTTACCCTTTCTCCTCTCTCACCCATTAGACCAGGTAAGCCTTGGGGTCCCTTTTCACCCTAAAAGAGCAGAATGGAAAATATTTGCATAAAACATAGCATTCTGCTAAAATAGGTAAGAGGAACAAAAGCATTACAATCCACAAGGAGTCCTGTTGATATTTTTGAAAAGGAACTTAATCACAGGGTTTGCTAACAAGGCAAATTTATCAGTTTCTCTAGATTTCTATGCCCATTTTTGCTCAAATGCTTCCTGCAAGGGAAAATTTTCCACCTTATCAACGCATCCAGTAGATGTCAGTGCATTACCATGAATGGCCATTTGCTTTCCAGGGAAGGATGAAAAATCAGAATAAAATGTTGCAGGCTCTTCTAAGGCCAAGAAAAAACCAAATAAACTTGCAAGCCCTCCCTGAAATTTCTGTGGTGGCTGAGAAATCAACTGCTTAGACGGGCAATTACAGGATCTCAAAACAATTATATGCTCAGTATTCTGGGTCAGTGAATAAAACAGAAACCCTGTAATTGCTGTGTTCCAAAGGGAAAAGAAAAAATAAAGACACAACCAACACAACACAACAACAACTGTTGTTGTGTTGTAACGCTACTGTAACGCTCTCTACATGGGGCTCCCCTTGAGGAGCACCCGGAGGCTTCAACTGGTCCAGAATGCGGCCGCGCGGGCGGTGTTGGGAGGGACTCGTTGCTCCCATGTAACACCGCTGCTGCGCGAGCTGCACTGGCTGCCGGTGGCCTTCCGGGTGCGCTTCAAGGTGTTGGTTATCACCTTCAAAGCGCTCCATGGCATCGGACCTGGATATCTCCGAGACCGCCTTCTGCCGCAGATTACCCCCCATCGGCCGGTACGCTCCCACAGGGTGGGTCTCCTCAGGGTGCTGTCAGCCAGACAGTGCCGGCTGGCGACTCCCAGGGGGAGGGCCTTCTCGGTGGGAGCCCCCACCTTCTGGAACGAGCTACCCCCAGAGATCCGGGTGATTCCGGATCTCCCTTCCTTCCGCCGCGCCCTCAAGACATGGTTATTTCAGCAAGCAGGACTGGCCTAAGGGGAAATTTTTTAGTGGGGTTCTTAAACATTTTAAATTAATTATAGCCAATTTAAATATTTCTTTTTAACCAAGTTTTAAGGGGTGTCTTGGGGTGTATTTGTATTTTATTGGTTGTTAGCCGCCCTGAGTCCGTAAGGAGAAGGGCGGGGTAAAAGTTTAATTAATAAATAAATAAATAAATAAAATAAAAGAACAACAAATCTTAGTTTTCTTATCTGGGCATGAAGGGACAAGAAAGCTGACAAAGACTTGGGAAACTTTCTGTCTAGAAGAAGTGTCATACTTCATCGTGTCCCACTGCAAAAGACGGACAGTGAAGAAACTCAGTTTTGCATTCTACTTTATTCCCCCCCTCCCCCCTTTCCCCCTTTTACGTCGTTACTTCATGTGTTCAAGAAACAGAAGAATACTTTCTCCCTCGTTTTAGCTAGTCTTAGTCTCGACAATGGTGCCGAATTTAGGAAACAACTAGGCCATGAGGACTTCAGACAGCATCTTTTTACTCCTGACATGACAGACAGACAGACAGACAGACATCCTGACAGGGAAGGGAGAAGTTGTGATCTTCAAGACATTACATGAAGCATCATGACACAAGCCCCATTCTTTTTTTCCCCTATATATGTCTCTGACACACATGCAGACAAGGTAGGCCTTGGACTGTGATGTTGCACTTTCCATCTAGCAGATTTTAATCTATGGATGGACAGGTAGATGGGTAGAAGAGTAGATAGGTAGATAGTTGGGCAGGTAGATGGCAGATGGATGGATGGATGGATGGATGGATGGATGGATGGATGGATGGATGGAGAGACAGAGGGTCAATGCCTGGGGGAACAATGAGATCTTAAAGGTCATTCCAAAGGCCAAGAAGTTAAGGGCCTTCTGGATAACTTGTGAACACAATTCTATAGGGCAGGTACCACTACTGAAAAAGCCCTCATCCCAGATCCTGTCAGAGGACATCATTTATTAGAGGGGACCTAGAAAGCACCCAAACTATCTGATTTGATGGGGCTGGCAGATATCCTATGGGAGTGGCGATCCACTAATTATATCTGGCCTCATGCCAAATGGAATTTTGAAGGTGCTAACCAGGATTTTGAATTTGCACCTGGAATGAAACTGGGAGACACACGAAATGAACACAAACTAGACCATACACTCAAGACGCTCTTGAACTTATATTTCAATGATACCTTTTGTCCTTTTTCTCCTCGTCCAAATGTTCCCCCACCCTGAAAAGAGAAATTAATAAATCCAGGATCCACAGATGCAAGGATAAAGATATGCAAGGTCAGAAATAATGCACAATGATAACAGCTATATTAAGCTATGAAATAGCACATTGATTAATTGAACACATCCGATTAACAAACCATTGCATCTTCGGCTAGCATCAAGGTTGTAAAGCATGAATCAGATTGTGTGGAAGATTCTAACCAAGATGTCAAGGAAAAGTCTCTACTATTATGACCGTAACTAAAAAAGAACGTCCATCAAACAGGTGCTGTCCAAGTATGTTGGACTTCAGCTTCCATAATCCCTAGCTAATATAGATAATTGTAGGGGGATGGTATAATTTCTTTGATACAACTGGATGACAGCCAAATTGACAGGGTGGTGTAGAACTTAACAGTTGAAAACCTCACCTTTATTAGCTCTGCCATTTAATTTCTTTGAAACTGGGAAGGATCAAAACACTATTTTATATTTCACAATAATAAGAAGAGGTCTTTGAAAGATAGCTGCGGTAAATATTTTTATGAAAGGTTGTAAAACTTTAGGTATATGTTCCGGTAAATGAGATCTGAAAAATTCTAATTAGAATTTCTCCTGCAAGAAAGGAGGTGGATTCAAGGACAATCTCTCTAATTTTGTGAAAGTCAATATTATGTCTGCTTCCATTTTTTTTAAGCTAGTTCTTTAGATACCTTCAGAAATAATTCATGACAAAACTTTGGCTGTAGTGAGATGTTGAATCAGGGAAAACACACATATATGAACACATTGATTTATGTCTCTTCCAACCAAGATTTCTCCATATGGATGGGCAAAGATCTAAATGAGGGGTGTCCAATCTTAACAACTTTAAGACTAATGAACTTCAATTCTCAAAATGGCTGGCTGGGGAATTCTGGGAGTTGAAGTCTACAAGTCTTAAAGTTGCCAAAGTTGGACATCCCTGATCTAAATAGAATTTATAACTCTTTTTAGATGACTATGACTTTGGCTGTCTGAAGAGGACATTTCTACCATCTGTTTTTCCTATGATGAGAAGGTCAAGGATGTTACTGTGGGCAGAGTTCCTGAGACCACTGCAGACCTCCTCCATAGCTAATTATTTTAAAATATTCAACTGGGGTCTTCAATATCTGGATTTAGAATTTATTTAAGTTAGTCCGTCAGGACCTATTCTGATTTTTTTTAAACTGCATGAGTTTTCTCACAAGTATATGATTACATTAGGATCGAAAAAGGAATATTTAGGGTCTCATAAATTTTCTTACTGGTTCTCCTTTGTCTCCCCTTGGGCCAGGAGGTCCAATTGGTCCAATGTCTCCCTTGACAAAAATAAAGATACGTTAGCAAGAAGGAATTTCCCCCCACTGACCTTTATTATCATAGCCAGTTTTTTAAATAAAAACTTAATGGTGAAACATGCATCTCTTTATCTAACATGGAGAGGAAGGAAGGAAGGAAGGAAGGAAGGAAGGAAGGAAGGAAGGAAGGAAGGAAGGAAGGAAGGAAGGAAGGAAGGAAGGAAGGAAGGAGAAGAGGAGGAGGAGGAGGAGGATAAAAGATTGCATAGATAGGATCTGCATCCAAGAATATTGCTTTTGTGCATATGTTCAAATGGTATCTATCATTTCCAGAGCTGTAGAGTTAGTCAGAAAATATGCATCCACCAATGTTATGAATAAATCAGAATAAATAAAACTACAATGTGTTATATCCTTGGTCTTATTATACTGTCTTTTTCTAGTGCCCTGTGGTCTAAATTCTAATAAACTAAGACAGCAAAATAACTGTAAAGCATTTACAGATGCCATCTGCAAAGATGTTGATGGAAAATACTATCATCCAAGCATTAATCTGTGCAAACATAAATCATGGGTGAAAAAAACAAACATTAAAAGAAGAAAACGAAAAAGCAGAAGCCTTTAATACCATGTCAGTGTCAAACAAACCACTCGACACATCGAACCAGTTGTGTAGGCAGGTCTGCTTTGAGTGTTAAGCAGGAATCTGCATTGTATCTGGCACTATTTTAGAAATGCTGTGGGACGCCATGAATGGAATGAGTTTTTAAGGTTGATTTCTTACACAGGCAAAATCCTGTTCAATCATTGCATTTCATTCTATGAAGTTGGCTGTGGTTTAGCATCTTTGGAATCATCTTGAGTGCCAGCCATGGTTAAGGTGGTGGCTATTAAAAGATAAGAGTGTTGTGGTCATCAGACAATAGTTCCAGTGGTGGGATTCAAATATGTAAACAACCGGTTCTCTGCATGGATGCCACTTCCGGTAGTCCATTCTGGGCCTGGGCAACAAAAAATTAGCTACCGGTTCTGCTGAAGTGGTGCGAACCGGCTGAATCCCACCACTGGATAGTTCTTTCTTTTAGCAATTTCTCATTCTTTCTGTGAAAGCCTCCCTTATTAGTTAAAGTGCCACAATTAAAAAAATATGGCCACTCTGTTTAAGGCTGCAAAAAACCATAGAGGGTATAATATTGAAAAGAAGAAGGAAATGTTTGCAGTTTATGTTTCATTTTTAAAATATGTTTTATTCTTTGGATAAGACTGACCTTTTGTCCTCTCAGTCCTTCAAATCCAGGAAGGCCTCTGTCCCCCTAAAAATGAAAAAAATATAGGCTGTTTAATAGCAAAATTCATCATTGCTTCTAACATGTTCTGAATCCTGACTTAGTGGCTCAGTGTGAGCAGTCTGCACATCTGCAATAACTGCTGAAAGCAGTTCCCAAAACAACTACATGGGATTGGGGGGAAAAAACAACAACATAGTGGTTTTAATTGAGGCCACCACATTTTCTAGACTTACAAAGAGAGTATGGCTTAGTAACAAGTTGACAGAACACACAAAGATCCAGGTCTATAGAGCTTGCGTCTTGAGCACACTCTTGTACTGCAGTGAGTCTTGGACTCTTCACGTATGGCAGGAGAGAAAGCTGAACACTTTTCATATGCGCTGTCTCCGACGTATTCTCGGCATCACCTGGCATGACAAAGTCCCAAATAGTGCAGTCCTGGAATGTGCTGGGATCTCTAGCATGTATACACTATTGAAACAGCGATGTCTACGCTGGCTTGGGCATGTTGTGAGAATGGCTGATGGTCGGATTCCGAAAGATCTCCTGTATGGAGAACTAGTGCAGGGAAAGCACCCCAGAGGGAGACCTGAGCTGCGATATAAGGATATCTGCAAGAGGGACCTAAAGGCCTTGGGGATGGACATTAACAGCTGGGAATCTTTGACCTCTGATAGTTCAGCCTGGAGGCTAAAGACGCAGCATGGCCTTCTCCAATTCGAAGAGACACTTGTGCGGCAGGCTGAGGCAAAGAGGCAGTCCCGGAACCAGTGAAATCTGGGGGCTGGACAGGGGACAGATTGTATCTGCCCTCAGTGTGGAAGGGACTGCCATTCTCAAATTGGCCTTTTTAGCCACACCAGATGCTGCCTTAGGACCTCTTTCCAGAGCACGACACCATAGTCTCTCGAGACTGAAGGATGCCAATGGAACCATATTTGGGCTGTAAAATTCAGACGATGTAATTGTATGTGAGAAAGACCTTGAGAAACAGGTGCAAGAAATGTTGCCTAGAGAATGATCGGATAAGAGAGGGTGTGCCTACAGCTGCATAATAGGTGGAGAAAAATGCACAGAAGGGATAGCAATAGCAATAGTACTTTAGACTTATATACTTCTTCATGGTGCTAGACAGCCCTCTCTAAGCGGTTTACAACATCAGCGTATTGTCCCCATCCATTTGGGTCCTCATTTTACCAACCTCAGAAGGATGAAAGGCTCTATTAGAATAGAATAACAGAGTTGGAAGGGATCTTGTAGGTCATCTAGTCCAAGCAGGAGACCTTACACCAGGAGTGTCAAACTCACCACGTCATGTGACATGTTGCAACGTATCATGACTTTTTTCCCTTTGCTGGAGTTGGGGGTGGGCGCAGCTTCCGTGTGATGCATCCGGCCTGCAGGCCAGCAGTTTGACACCCCTGCCCTATACTATTTCTGACAGATAGCAATCCTACACCTGAGCTACAGATATTCACCACTACTGCAAACAAACCTTTTCTCCTGGAGTACAGGAACAATTGACTGTCTTGGTAGGTCCAATCTGCTCATTTGGAACAGTCGATGGAATTAGCGGAGTGGGAACATCTGTAACAACTGTCACTTGACAATCCTGGTAAAAATCAGAAACAATAACAACACTGCATCAATAGGATTTAAATAGGATTTTAAAAAGAAAAGATGGGTATGGACATGTTTTTCAAGAAAAAGGAAATAGTTCACTTTTATCAACAATTTATAACTGGAGGATATTTGGCACTATAGATTGTCCTCGACTTATGACCACAATGGTACCCAACGTTTCTGTTGTTAAGTGAGACAATTGTTGTTTTGCCCCATTTTATGACCTTCCTTGACCCAATTATTAAGCAAAACACTACAGTTGTAGGTGCAGTAACACAGTTGTGAAGTGAATCTGGCTCCCCCATTGTCTTTGCTTGTCAGAAGGTTACAAAAGAGGGATGATATGATCCCAGGACACTGCAACCGTCATAAATATGAATCAGTTGCCAAGAGTCCAAATTCTGATCACATCACTATGGGGATGCTGCCAATGTGAGAAACGGCCATAAGTCAGTGCCGTTGTAGATAGATAGATAGATAGATAGATAGATAGATAGATAGATAGATAGATAGATAGATAGATAGATGATAGATAGATGATAGATAGATAGATAGATAGATAGATAGATAGAGATAGATAGATAGATAGATAGATAGATAGATAGATGATAGATAGATAGATAGATAGATAGATAGATGATAGATAGATAGATAGATAGATAGATAGATAGATAGATAGATAGATAGATAGATAGATAGATAGATAGATATTGGAACACTGCTATCATGTCCCCCCTCGTCCTTCTCTTCACTAAACTAGACATACCCAATTCCAGCAACCATTCCTTATATGTTTTAGCCTCCAGTCCCCTAATCATCTTTGTTGCTCTTCTCTGTACTCTTTCTAGAGTCTCAACATCTTTTTTACAGCGCGGTGTAAACTGTTGCAACACCCACATGGCCATGTGATAGCTATTTGAGTGTTTGGCAGCCAGCTCACATTTACAACCGGTTGCAACATCCTGTAGTCATGATTTGTGACCCTTTTTTTGCGGGGTGGCTGGATTCACTTAAGAACTGCTGTAAAAATGGTTATAAAATCAGGTCTGGCTTGACTTATAGCCACAGAGACTTATGATGGAAATTCCAAACCAAACCATAGTTGTAAATGGAGGACTAGTTATATTTTCTCTAGAATGGTGGCTGGTTTGTTCATGTATCTCAGTCAAATTTAACCCTTCCATCCAAAGGTATAACAAGGAACCATTGTCATAAGGGTATGTCCTTAAAGCACATTTGCAAAGCAGGTCTACAGTTTAAACTTACAGGTCCAGGAGAAATATCACAGCAGGTTTCAAACTCAGCGTGTCGTGAATCACAATAAATAACCATCCGTTGAAGGTCAAACTAAAAGAAAAAAGAAATGGTATCAGTTCACTTCCTGAGTTTGTAGCAGGATAATAGGCCCAGAAGAATATTTGCTGACATAATACAAATGCAAATTTGCTCTTGCAAGGAGAAAAAAATAGTGGAAGAATGTGTGAACGTTTACAGGTGGAGAAAGCTTGGAACAAGAAATAGAAGAAGGCAAAAGATATGTGAGACATTTTAGAAAACTGGTTAATTGGATTGAGGGCATGAAACTGCAAAAATTTCTGACATGTAGAAGCCTAAGCCTCAAAGCCCTTCTCTGAGTAATTCTAGGTTTTAAAATCCATGTCAGGGTAGGAAAACGAGCAGTAAACATTTCACCGTTCTCTCCATCTTCTGTGTCTTGCTTTTTAGAACTAGTGTCAGAATTCAGAAATTTCTGGCAAGATTTAAAAGCTCTGTTCCGTTTCATGAATGATTGAGCTGCTTATCAAAGCTTAAGGTCCAGACATTGCATATGCTAAAGATGGTAGAAAAAAAGAGAGGGTGTGATTCTAACAGAATAACAGAGTTGGAAGGGTCTAGTAATGAAAGTAATGAATCTCTAGTAATGAAAGTCAAGAGCACAATTAAAAAAGGAAGCAAACATATATATACAGTAGAATAATGATAACAGGTACAGGAACCAACCTTACAATGTGAACTGAAGTGGTGAATAGCTTATAGTTGGAAGGGACCTTAGAGGTCATCCAACTTAACAGAATAACTAAATTGGAAAGGACCTTGGAGGTCATCTAGTCCAACCCCCTCACTCCAGACAAATGGCTGTCCAGTCTCTTCTTAAAAGCCTCCAGTGATGGAGCATCCAAAACATCTGAAGGCAAGCTATTCCTTTGGTTCATTGCTCTATCTGTCAGGAAGTTTCTCCTTAGTTCTAGATTGCTTCTCTCCTCAATTAGTTTCCATCCATGGTTTCTTGTCCTGCTTTGAGGTGCTTTGGAAAATAGATTGACCCCCTTTTCTTTGTGGCAGCCCCTCAAATATTGGAACACTGCTACCATGTCACCCCCTAGTACACTTTGTCTTCAGAGAACTACCAATAGTTTTGGTCTTAGTACAGTTTGTTAATAATATTTTAATCTGCATAGTTTTAATGTATAATATTTTAATTATTTGTACTTGTTTTTTTTAACTTGCCAGCCACCCAAAGTCACCTTATAGGGGACATAGGCAGCATAAAAAATAATATAATATATACATAACATAAAAATAGAAATGTGGCCACTGGCCAAATATTAAATCTATCATCATTCTATACTGCATTGAAGATATTTTAATGCTACAGACTTCTTGAAAAGTCTGTATTCATAATTTAAATAAATGAGACACACAGTGGCCTAGTGATGAAGATGCTCCCCTCCCACTTGGAAGGTTGAGAGTTCGATCCTAAGTAGTGGCAGATGTTTCTCTCTCAGGGTACAAAGAGAAAAAATCTGCTGCAAACTCCACATAGGTGTCAGAAAGGGCATCCAGCCAGTAAACGCTCAGCTCCACCCAGTTGTCCCAACCCCACACCAAATTAAAGGGACTATGGGGTCGTAAAAAAACAACAACCCATAGTTTAAATAAATATAGAGGATATTTTAGGGATATGATTGGTGGTAGAACTGATCCCCCCTTTTTTGGTAGTCTTTGTCCCTTGTACTATTTTTTAATAAAGATTTTATTGGGTTTTTTTTCATAAACATATGTTAATTTTTCCAATCAACAAGTTGTCTGGAGTTTGCTATGCTAATACATGTTCAATTCCTAATCCTTCATTCTTTCCTCTAGCCAACAATAAAATAGGTCCCAAATTTGATAATAGTCTGTATCTTCTTTATCTTTCAACCTCATAGTTAATCTGTCCATCTCTGCACATTCCAATNTAAAAAAAGTTCAGGTTTAAAATCCACTTGTTCACCCAATATTTTTTCTAACCACATATGTATCTTTCTCCAATAGACCTTTGTCTTACCAGGCTTTGTCCCTCGTACTTACATCAATTGGCACACTGTCATAAAGGCGTTTGCCGATCACTGTTTTCCCTTGGATGTCAATATTTTCTCTGTCTTCAATAGGTAATGTCTGGACCAGTTTGCAATCGATGTATAAGGAGACTGTCTGGGACTGGATGCTCAGGGCAATCTTATGCCAGTTACGATCAAACAGATCATTGACATGTCCGTTTTTGAAGACCACTCTCACAGCATCTCTGGTGAGTCCAACTGCATTGTATTCCAAGGCTTTGTTCTCCCCATCTAACCGAATGGAAACCTTTGAAAACAGACATATTACTGTAAGGAGAGGAATCTTTATAGAACAAATACCCAACAAAGGAGAGATCAATCATGAGAAGAAGGGTAAGAGCAAACTTCATCAAACAGAGAATCCATTTCTAAGTGCCCCAGATGTTTTGAACCACAAACTCAAATGCTACAGCTGGCATTGCCAATTATGAGGAACTATGGAAAACCCTAGGATGAGTGCAGCAGTAAATCAAAGTTAACAGCCTTGGAGGACCCAGAGTGTTGATGGCTTCAATACGTTCTAATCTGCAGCTAGGGGTATCCCTGATTCTGAGGATTCATTATTCCTGGTTCATTACTATATACGATCAACATGCTAGACACAAAAGACAAGAAAAAAGCATAACTGTGCAGGATAGGCAAATGGTCGTCCAGTGACTTCTTAAAAACTTCCAGTGTTGGAGCATTCACCGCTTCTGGAGGCAGGTTGTTCCACTGGTTAATTGTTCTAACTGTCAGGAAGTTTCTCCTTAGTTCTAGGTTGCTTCTCTCCTTGATTAGTTTCCACCTGTTGCTTCTTGTCCTGCCTTCAGGCGCTTTGGAAAATAGCTTGACTCCCTCTTCTTTGTGGCAGCCTCTGAGATATTGGAACACTGCTATCATGTCCCCCCTCGTCCTTCTCTTCATTAAACTAGACATACCCAATTCCAGCAACCATTCTTCATATGTTTTAGCCTCCAGTCCCCTAATCATCTTTGTTGCTCTTCTCTGTACTCTTTCAAGAGTCTCAACATCTTTTTTACATCGTGGTGACCAAAAATGGATGCAGTATTGCAAGTGTGGCCTTACTAAGGCATTATAAAGTGGTATTAACATTTCACGTGATCTTGATTCTATCCCTCTGTTAATGCAGCCTAGCACTGTGTTGGCTTTTTTGGCAGCTGCAGCACACTGCTGGCTCATATTTAAGTGATTGTCCACTAGGACTCCAAGATCCCTCTCACAGTTACTACTATTGAACAAGGTACCACCTATACTATACCTATGCATTTGGTTTTTCTTGCCTAAATGTAGAACCTTACTTTGATCACCATTGAATTTCATTTTGTTAAATAGCGCCCAGTGTTCAAGTCTGTCAAGATCCTCCTGTATCCTAAGCATGTCTTCTGGAGTGTTGGCTATTCCTGCCAGCTTGGTGTCATCTGCAAATTTGATGAGTTCCCTATCTATCCCCTCGTCCAAATCATTGATGAAGATGTTGAAGAGCACTGGGCCTAGAACAGAGCCTTGGGGCACCCCACTACATACTTCCCTCATGTAGATGCGATTCCATTGAGGACCACACGCTGAGTTCTTGATGGGTAATCATGGCTGACAAATATGGCGAGTGACAGAATCACCTTCTCTTCTCTTTTAGTGTTGGACAATCATTCAATCAAATGCCACTATTCCTGAAGAGCATACTGGGTTAAAACTGTTTAAATTTTTGTTATTGAATAGTTATGGATATCAAACAAATCTTCATTTATTATTATTTTCTTATACCAGTAATGGAGTGACATCTTCAGTTGTTTTGAAGAACATGTTGTTCAAGTTATGATACTTTGTTTTATGAAGCAGAACGTATAGTTCAGGGGTAGGCAACCTCAGCTCTTTTATGACTCATGGACTTCAACTCCCAGAATTCCTCAGCTATGCTGATTCAGGAATTCTGGGAGTTGAAGTCCATGAGTCATAAAAGAGCCGAGGTTGCCTACCCCTGGTATAGTCCCACCTTCTACTAAATGAATGATTTATATACCAGTTCTTTCCATCGTTAATATTATTATACCTCCCTCCCATCTTGGTGACACACATGAAGAATGTCCAACTCATTTATACTGATATATTTATGAAGAGAGGAGAGACCTTCCCAAAGATAGGCAAATTGTAACTTTGCAGCTAATTCAAAATTTTTGTTCCCTTTAGAGCCTGTAATAAGCTGACATCTAAATTTCCTCCAATTTGTGAGGTGGTTATCAATGAACTCCATAGTGTCAGTTCTAACATAGGCAAGTCTTAATTGAAACAACAGTAACAATGAACGTCATCTACATATATAATGTGATTTGCAGATTTCAGTTACCCACACACCCTCCAGATGTCCCAATTTTTTTTTTTTTCAAAAGGCAACTGGACTTTCTTTTTTCTCCTTTAAAAACATTTCATTCATCCAAGAAGCATAACTTCAAAACACTCCAGACATTCAGTGCAACCTTGGGCCATAAAAAATATTCCCTTCCCCAGACTTAGCACATAAAAATCTAAAATAATTTAAGTCAAGCTAGACTACTGATGACTTTTTGGACGTGTCTAGGTTCGGTATTTTTGTGAAAAAGATGGTTTGGTTTGATACTTTCTTAGTCTAGAATGCTTTTCAGTTTTTATTTTAGCCTGCAGATTTCTTAGTCATCTCCTTTCTGAGTACCAGCGAGCTGAATCTTTATTAATTTTGCAACCTGTGAGGAAGTGAAGTAGGGATTGTTCCTTGTGCTTTGGAAAATCAATAGCAATAGACCAGGGGTCCCCAACCCCTGGTCTGTGGACCGGTACTGGGCCACGGCATGCCAGCAACCGGTCCACACAAACAAGCAAAGCCCCATCCATGGGATGCAGGCAGCACACAAAACCACACACTCTCCAGTACATGGACAAACCTTTCTCCATGGAACCATTCCCTGGTGCCCAAAAGGTTGGGGACCTCTGACTTAGACTTATATATTGCTTCACAGTGCTTTACAGCCCTCTCTAAGCGGTTTACAGAGTCAGCCTATTGCCCCCAAGGATCTGGGTCCTCATTTTACTGACCTCAGAAGGATGGAAGGCTGAGTCAACCTTGAGCTGGTGAGAATCGAACTGCTGGCAGTTGACAGAATGAGCCTGTAATACTGCATTCTAACCACCACATCACCACAGCTCTGCAGTCGGCTGCAGCCAGGCAGAAATGCATCTCTGCACTTCCTACATGCACTCATAAATTTACTCACAAGCACCCAAGCCCTTGTTGCAGATGCCTGTGTTAATTGAACTGCACTCTGGTGCTTTCAAGGACATGCTATACTGTATGTCCAGGGGCAACTTTACCCCACCCAGTTTTTTGAGCTTACAAAAAGCAAAAATATAAGGCAGACTGGGGGAAGGGGTGTGTGTAGCACGAAACATGAATGCAAATCACCTACAGACAGAGAAGCGGAGGTGACACATGCAGGTTGGCAGCTATTGCGATCTTGCGTGAGGACTTTCATTCAACTGCCAAGTCTGCAAACTACGGTGAGCAGCACGTCCTGGTAGAAATCCTGCCAGCAGCTTGGAGCTTTTCTGGAAGCTCAGTAGCAATTACAAAAAGGAACAACAACGCCGAAGCCATACCTCATCCCCATTAGCACAAGAACGTTTGGAGAAAGGGTGTGTGCTATTTTAAAGACTTTGAGATTTTTTGCTTAAACTGGGCATAAAGGACTGAATACTAAACACATTTTTAATTGGCAAGATCACCTTGCAAAGTCCTCGAAGGGCGGAGGTGATCCAGAGCAATAGCCTGTAGTTAGGGAAGGTGTGTGTTGTAATTAAAGTATGGTGTCTGTGTTGTAATTAAAGTATTGCGCTGTGTAGAGTCCTTGGAGAGCAAAGGACTCTAATACAACAATTCTATTTTGAACCATTCTGTTCTGAATAGATTCATCTCCTGGTGACTTAACAGAATAACAGAGCTGGAAGGGACCTTGGAGGTCTTCCAGTCTAATCTCCTGCTTAAGCAAGAGACTGTATACCGTTCTGGACAAATGGCTGCACTGTCTTCTCTAAATGCTCCAGTGATGAGCACCCATAACTTCTGGAAGCAAGACATCTCACTGATCAATTGTCCTCACTGACAGGAAATTTCTCTTTAATTCTAGGATTTCTCCTTGATAAGCTTCAATCCATTACTTCTTCTCCTGCCCTCAGGTGCTTTGAAGAATAGTTTAACCTCCTCTTCTCTGTGATGACCCCTCAAATATTGGAAGACTGCTATCATGTCATTGCTGGTCCTCCTTTTTGTTAGACTAGACCAAGGGTCTTCAAAAATTAGCCCTTTTATGACTTGTGGACTTCAACTCCCAGAATTCCTCAGCCAGGCATGCTGGCTAAGGAATTCTGGGAGCTGAAGTCCACAAGTCATAAAAGGGCCAATTTTGGAAGACCCCTGGACTAGACTTATACAGTTCCTGCAACTGTTCATTTAGCCTTCAGTCCCCTAACCATTTTTATTGTGCTTCTCCGCACTGTTTTTAGAGTCTCAACATCTTTGTGATCAAAACTGGATGCAATATTCCAAGAGCAGTATAAAGCTTTGTGGAACTATCCATGTTCTTTTCTCGGCATGTGGACTCCCACTAAAGTATGAACAATGGTTGGAAACAAACCAAGGAGAGAAGCAATCTAGAACCAAGGATAAAGTTCTTAATGGTGAGAGCAATCAACTATTGGATGGCTTGCCATCAGAGGTTGTGGATGCTCCATCACTGGCAACTTTCAAAAGAAGACTGGACAACCATTTGTCTGAAATGGTATAGGGGGTTGGACTAGAAGACCTACAAGATCCCTTCCAAGTCTATTATTCTATGTTCTAATTAACCTAATCTTCCTTAATTTTTGGAGAGTCAGGCCTTCCTAAATATTGGCACCTAGCCCAGCTACATACAAATCAGTTTTGTTAATCAAGGTGCTGCTACATGCAGGGGTCTTCAAACCTGGCCCTTTTATGACTTGTGGACTTCAACTCCCAGAATTCCACAAGTCATAAAAGGGCCAAGTTTGAAGACCCCTGTGCTAAAGTCAACAGAAAGCCAACAGTGCTGTGTAATAAGCTGGAGAGAAATAACCCAACTTCTTTAAGGCTGAACAAGCAACCTTACCTGTGGTATGCCATATTTGTCAATGATCTGCCAAATGTACCAATCTTCTCGCCTGGATGACTTGCGGAACTTGAAAGTGGCGACAAAACCATACTCATCTGGAAGTCCTTGTGGAAAGACATCTCTGGAAGAAGGAGGTGAGGGGATAGAAAGTAATGAAAAGCAACAAAGATGATTAGAGGACTGGAGGCTAAAACCTATAAGGAACGGTTGCTGGAATTGGGTATGTCTAGTTTAATGAAGAGAAGGACGAGGGGGGACATGATAGCAGTCTTCCAATATCTCAGGGGCTGCCACAAAGAAGAAGGGGTCAAGCTATTCTCCAAAGCGCCTGAAGGCAGGACAAGAAGCAATGGATGGAAACTAAGCAAGGAGAGAAGCAACCTAGAACTAAGGAGAAACTTCCTGACAGTTAGAAAAATTAACCAATGGAACAACCTGCCTCTAGAAGCGGTGAATGCTCCAACACTGGAAGTTTTTAAGAAGAGACTGGACAGCCATTTGTCCGAAATGGTGTAGGGTTTCCTGCCTGAGCAGGGGGTTGGACCCGATGACCTTCAAGGTCCCTTCCAACATCATCATCATCATCATCATCATCATTATTATTATTATTATTATTATTATTATTATTATTATTATTATTATTATTATTATTATTATTATTATTATTATTATTATTATTGTGTATATATACCTATATCATTATTCTACTTTATATTTCAGTTTGCTTCCTATTTTGATTGTGCTCCTGACTTTCATTACTAGAGCTCACACAGTACATGTGTATGCCCTTAAGCACATTAAGTGAACCTTGGTTTAAGACGAAGTTTGCAAACTTCTGCATTGACAGAACATCTGAGAACTTCTGATGTCATGACCAGTAACTATAGTACTTAAATGTTCATGTTTGGGCCATTTTGCTACTTCAGTAACAGTTGGCAGCACGTACTGTAAAATGAGCAGTTGGAACCGTGTTGTCTTATTCAAGCAGGAAATGAAAGAAGCAGCAATGGATATAATGAATGGAAATACCCTTCTCTCAGTTGGCTTTTAAATGATGTCCACTCTTCTGTGATATTCTAGAATGAAAGGGCTCTGTGAGAATTTGCTCCTCCTTGAAACCTGCCTGGTGCTGATGCAGAATTAAATGAACTAACAATATTAACCCCAGTTGCCTGATGCAGAAAACACACTGTTTCGGTTAATCCTATCATTGTGACCTAATCAGACAGGAAGTGTTTCAAATTATTTTATCATATGAAGCTCTTAACTCTCTTTCAAGCCTACACAGACATAGCCTTTATTGTCTGCTGGTGATGTCTGCTAGAATCTGGGGATTTTCTGCTCTCTTTATTTGGACAAAATTCCACTTCTGAAAAAGAGCTTTGCCCTCTTTGTTTGTCTTCTTCAGTTTTCCTAATGAAGTTGGATTCCACTTGAAATCATTTGAAACTGTCTTCATCTGCAGTACACATTTTAGCTAAGATTCTTTGAGGGATCCTTGGTGCTGTCTGAGCTTGGCTGTTTTTTTTTTTTGCATCACCCAAGCTAGGGAACATTATTGGTGTTTGCTCTCAATTTATATTCTAGCCATTTGTTTTCTCATTGTTAGTGAGAGTGATCTTGGGGGTTGTTTGGGTGGGTTGTTTACTGATAGCTTGCTTGCCAGTTCCTTGATTGGGGCAGAGGCGTAGCGTGGGGGGTGCAGGGGGGGCCGGCCGCACCGGGCGCAACATCTGGGGGGGCGCACTCGCACTCGCAGCTCTCTGCCCCTGCCTGTGCGAATCTGATCCGAGCCGCCGGGTCGCCGCCCACTGTGGAGGGAGGGGGGGCGCAGGGGGGGTGCAAATTCACAGG